GGGGCCTGGGGCCCCCCGCAACTGCAGGTGGCTGTGGTCACACGCCCCACCAGCCCCGGGCGCTCAGAAGCTGAAGAGGTCCTCCTGCTGGGGGCTGCCGCTGTCAGGCTTGTCCCAGTCGACCGGCGAGAGGCACTGGGCGTAATGGATGTCCTGTGCTGTCAGTCCAGTGTCCAGGACCTGAGGGTTCGTCCGAGACTGGGCGAGCCTGGAAGGCAGAGCTGTGTGAGCCGAGGGGCAGGCAAGGGGCTGGCGGGGGCCTGAGGAGCCAGTCCAGCCCGGCCAGCACCAGGGTCAGAAGTGAGAGGGCACGAGCGGGAAAATGCCAGGACACAGGGGCCAAAGGAGAAAGTCCCAGATGTCAGGAAAGGTGGAGTCTCTGAGGGTCAAATGACTCAGGAAACTGTGGGGCAGGCAGGGGCATTCTCACCACAGAGTGGCCGGGGCACACACACCATCCACGGCTCCCTCAGGAAATGCCCAAGAAAGGGGAAGGGCCGCACTGGTGCGGGCACGAGAGAGGCACACGGGGGAGGGGGGGGGTGCCACCCTGAGACTATTGGCTATAACTATGTTCAACACAGTGCTGTTCGAAAAGGAATTTAGAAAGAAGACAACCTAAGGGGAGAGTTAAGTAAATTGCAGCCATGTCCTAAGGAATGCGAGGCAGCTGATGAAATGTGTGCCCGAGGCATTTTCGACACCTGGAGAGATGCTCCTGATATGTCAGTGACAAGTGAAAATCAGGGTCCCAAATGCAAATATGTCGAGCTGATCAATGCAAAAAATATATATATATATATGTATATGTATAGGATTATGCCCAAAAGTCTGAGCTGTGGGATGATGGGATGGTATCATTTCCAATTTAATGCTTTGCTGATTTTTGAAGTTTTTAATAAAGGAAACATGATTCTTGGGTAATCTGGAAAAAGCAAATGGAAGGTTTTCTTCCAACGATGGGGAGGGAGTCAGCCAGTGAAGCAGGGAAGACAGTAAAAGAAGGAGCCACACAGGCCACGCCCCACCACCAGGGCCAGGGGCCTCCACCAGGCTCTGGCAGGAAGGACCTGGGGCGGAGGGAGAGGGATGCAGGGGGCTGCTCCCAGGGAGAAAGAGAGGCCTAGCTGGGAGCCCTGAGCTGCCCGGGCCTCCCCTCGGCCTTCTCAGGGGCCTTTCCCCAAGCTACAGGTAGCCATGGCTACGGGATGGCCCTGCGAAGATGGGGAACTGCCCCCTCAGGATAGACGAAAACAACTCGGTGCTGTGCCCGACATTCCTCCTCTGTGTAATGCTCCACGGGCTTAAGTGAGCAACACCTTCCCCCTGCCCTTCTCCACAAATGGAAAACCTCTGGAGGGAACAAAGGCTGCAAAAAAAGCCAGTTTTTGGCCCGGCTGTGGTGGCTCAGTGGTTGAGCATCAACCTATGAACCAGGAGGTCACGGTTCAATTCTTGGTCGGGGCACATACTTGGGTTGCCGGCCCGATCCCCAGAGTGGGGTGTGCAGGAGGCAGCTGATCAATGACTCTCTCCCATCATTGATGTTTCTATCTCTCTCTCCCTCTCCACTCCTCTCTGAAATCAAAAGCCAATCTTTGAAGGTTACACCAGGAGCAGGAAGAGGAAATCAGCTTCAGCTATAGCTACAGCAGTGTACTTAGTTCAGCTCAGATTATGGTAAAGCAGCCACTAGGAACTGTTTTTTACTTAATAGCAAGAGCTTTCTAGCAGACATGGCCATCCCCAGGTAGTGAGCTCCCCACCCCTGGAAGTATTCAAGTTGAGATTTTTGTTCTGGAGATGGTCAGAGGTGGCCAAGGGCCCCAGAGACCTGCCCACAAATGCCAGGCCTCCTTCCCCAGCATAAGGAGCCCAGTTAATGTTACCTTGAAAATGCTTCATCCAGGTCGTCATCCAGCTCCTTGGGGAAAACAAAGTGGGAGATATGAACCCGAGGTGGGGGACTTGTCCCAGCCCTGGGTGAGCTACAGGGACTCGAGACATAAACATAGGAGTCTGGGGGGCGCCTGGAGGAACAGGCTTAGGCAGGCCTCCCGCCACCAGCATCTCAGCACGGGGACCCACACCTGGGATGTGAACAGGAGAAAGGGCCCCTGGGCACCTGGGCACCTGGGTGGGTTCGATTCCCAGCTCTGTCGTTACCCAAGTGACCCCTTAGGCAAGTGGCTACTCCTCTTTGAGACTCAGCTTTTCCTTCCATCAAAAGGGCGGGTTAGGCCGAAGGCTGCTAAGACTTTCGAATTCTGAGAGGAAGAGGGCGGGAAGGGTTTCCTTGCTTTCATCCACTTCCAAAAGCCCAGCCCAAATTCCAAGCTCAAGGGATTAGTGCCGAGGCGGGAAAACAATGGGCCCCGCAGTCTCCCAGAGAGCGTGGGCAGGTGCCAAGGGTGGCTGCAGACAGCGGGGACGGGCTCAGAGCGCCTGCCCCGCGCACCTGGGTGGCCCCCGGCAGGCAGAGGGATTTGATGGTCTTTCATGTCTGTCAGGTGCCAGAGTGTCTTAAACTAAAGAGATATGACGAGTAATGTGTGATTCTGCAATGGAGCCTGGACCGGAAAAGGACATTGTGGGGACCACAGATTATGTAACAGTGTCGTACCAACGTTAATGGTTTTGATAACTGTAATGTGGTCACATAAGATGCTAAGGTTTGGGGAATCTGGATGAAGGGTGAACAGGAATTCTTTGTACTGTTTTTGTAACATTTTATAATTCTAAGATTATTTCCAAATAAAAGACTTTTTAAATTTTAATTTAAAAAATGAGGTTCCTCTGGTAGATTCTGCAGGCAAGTCATCCTCCTCCCTGCAGAGATGAAAAAGCTGAGACACACAGAGGTCAGGGGCCTGCCCCAGTTCGCAGAGCGTGTCAGGGGCCAGCTGCTGGCTGCCCAAGTCCCAGACTCCTCATTCAGACGGTGGGGGGAGGCGGGTCAGGAGCAAACTCTGCCCGCCCTGAGAACAAGGGGGCCTTTGGCTCGTCCTGCAGTCGGGATGCTTAGGCCAAGAGGCCGGGCATTGTGAGGGGACAGCTGTGCTGGGAGCCAAGCCTGTTGGGGACCTAGCCCTGGGTTCAAAGGGGACATTGTTCATCGCCTACCGTGGGCCTGGGTGCTGCTGGGCTGGGGGTGGCCCTCCCAGATGCCTGTAAGTCATGGGTGCCAGGCCCCGGACCGCGCTGGGGCCTCCTCTAGGGATAAGCCTGAGGCTCACCGGATCCCCGCGGGGTCAGCAGGCCACACGAACACTCACCCAGACAACACTGCTGCTACTCAAGGCTGGAGGCCTCGGGGCCTCGTCGACGTTAGTGGTATTAGCGCTGACTGTGGACAGCGGGGCTTTGGTCATCTCTTCCAAGTCCAGCAGGTTTCCCGTGGCAACCACTATGAAGGGTCCGGGCAGATGCGTCAGTGCGAGAGGAGCCTCCTGTCTCCCCGCCTCATCTCCTCGTCCCTCCTGGAGCCTCCTGGTCTGTCCTGGCCCCGACTCTCTCCTTGGCCAGGGCCTTTCCCAGGCCTATCACCCAGAACACCCAGAGCCCCACCTTGGCACCTCCCAAAGCAGCTGGACAGCTGCCCCCGACGTGAGATCCTCTCCCCGACTAATGGTTTATAGTCACAACAGGTGCTGAGTTCAGTAAGCGATCCCAGACAGCATGGAAAGTACATACAGAGAGAGGTATACATATGTGCATATTTTTGCACAGGGACACATCTGGGAGAACATGCACCATAATGAGTAACTTTCCCCCTTTATCTCCATCTTCTAGTTTATTTATAACGACCATGTATTATGTATTTAACAACAAAACCAAAAAAAAAAACCGAGTTTGCTCCAACCCAGGAGGGAGCAGGGCCTCTGGGTGAAGGGCAGACCCCGAGACCTGCAGCTGATTCCAGCCCCTCCCCCTGCCCAAGACTCACGGTTCTTCAACGAGGGGGTGCTGCTGCCACGGCCCCCGCCCAGGCCGTCCCCGCCCTCCTGGCTGGCTTTCTCCCTCTTCTCCTTCTCTGTGGGATCAAGGCACAGCGCGTTAGTGCCTCCGACCCCAGCACTCCATCCCCAGGAACTGCTGGGCGGGGAGTAGGCTGTGGCCAACCTCAGGGGGCAGGTCTCCCTCCAGCAGGTCTCAGTTCATCCCCACAAGGCACCTGTTTAAGTCACAAACTGGGGAGGTGATGAAGGTGGGAGTCTGTCCAGGCCTTCACCACCCCCTCCCCAGCCCATGGGACCCTGCCGGCCTTCTTCAGTGCTCCCTCCTCACCCCCGCCCACACACAATGTCTGTGAACAAGGCTCACCTTCCTTGGACACCTGCCAAAACTCAAAGGCAACTTTGAAGGCCTGGGCTACGGTGAGGGTGACAGCCTGAGCCTGAAAAACAGGAAGTGAGTTCAGGGGAGGGGTGCAGTATTAGGGGGGTAATAGCAAGTCTGAACTGGAGGCTGGGGGTTCCTGGGCAGGCCCACCTGGCTCCATCCCAAGGCTCTGGAACGCCTGATGAATGGAGGCAGAGTCCCGGCCTCTCCCAGGTCACAAAGCAGCCGGGTTAGAAAGAGGCCACACCCTCCCCAGGCAGCTGGGCCCCCTCTTCAGCACCTGTAGCCCAGCCAAGGCTCCCGCCCTCATTCCGGCCCGTACCTTGGCAATGGCTGTTCACCTCCACTTGTTCCCTTCCCTTTGGGCTTTCCTAAATTCAATTCATTGTGAGGCTGGCTTCTTCTGAGAAGCCCTCCCTGATTACTCAAGGACTTCACACAGTTACTTAACCCTTGGAATTAAGAAACAGAAAAGCCAGAGTTGGAAAGGGTCCGACCACTGTTTGAATGAGCCACGGGGGCAGAGGTCAGACTGGTTAGTACTACACAGAGTCAGAGGGCTTATAACTGAACCCCAGAAAGGCAGTGGGAAGCTTATACATTTCCTGACAGAAGCAAGTTGTCAGTGAGCACCGTGGCAAGGGATGAAAACCATTCAGTGCCATCACCCTCCTGTAAGGCCCTTCACCCTTGGGGAACTCCCACCCACTCTTCCAACCCAACTCAAACATCACCCCTCTCTCTTGTCACCAGCTCACATGCCTGTCACCCTACCTGGTGCTCCCCAAAGGCAAGAATCACCCCCTGGTTCCCAGAGCCCCCCAGAGGGGCAACATGCTGGCTGAACTGCATTTTCCCAAGAGGCAGGCATCCTGAGGCCTCAAGCTCTAGCCAGGGCCTCCTACCCCATCCCACATTCCACTCAACCCCTTCTTCTCTGATTCTAGACCAGGGTTCATCAGCTCAGCTTCTGGGAGTGCAGGCCCCAGAGCTCGCAGCTATGGCTGGAGGCGACAGCTAGCTTCCTTCCGAAAGCCGGGCCCAGGGAAGAAAGCACCAGACCCTTTCAAGTGTACAAGCTCCGGCTTCACCAGCCTCTGCCCCACTCCCTTCCTCTCGCCAGACAACTCAATTTAATTGAGAAATGAATCCATGGCTACTGCCTTTAAAACTCTTTTTTTTTTTTAATTTAAAATCCCTAAACAAGCTGACTGATCCATGCCAATTAAACTTCACGAAGTATAAAATCTCATTTGAATGTCTCCATCATTTACATTTTTGATGGAAGTACGGGGACTTTATGGCAAAACTTAAATATGGTAATTAAGTATGAAACTCTTCACAGCTGTTTACAATTTAAGCTGTCACAACTGAATCAAACTGAATAGACTCAGTTACCATTGAGAATTGCTCATGAACTAAAAATATGGACTAATTACAAGCCCGAGTCAGTCACTATACACCCAAGCAAGGCTGGTCATCCTGTGGCAGGGGGATGGAAACACCATGATTTTTGCCTTCGGGAAACCTGGGGGCACAAGCCTGTCTTTGCATTAATCTGCTTATTCGTTTGCATACACTCCTGTCCTTTCTCCCTAAAGTCCTGAGCTACAAGCTAAACCAAATATAACCCAAGATTCGGAGGTGGACAGGTGGCTGCAAGCCCAGGCTGGGCAGGACCGGGAGGGGTTGGGCCCTGCCCTCTGGGGCGGCTGCAGGAATTTGGGCAGCACCAGAAGAAAGGACTGCTCCAGCCTGCCCTGAGGTGGGGGGG